CTGAAGTAAGAAAAAATTCCTGTTTGGTTCTTATAATGATTTTGTACTGTGTCAAATTAGCTATGCTGGAACTACACTTCCAGACTCAATGCCCTGTGTGGTTCCAAGTCAGGGTCGGCCAAAGAGAAGTGTCTGTGAGATTTGCAGATGGAAGTGCAGCGGCGGCCGTTTTACACACTGAGGTCTGCACAGAATACCAGCAGGGTGGTATTCTGCCATTTTTTGCTGTAACCTATTGCTGTGCCTTTTTGGCATGGGACCCCAGCCAGATTCAAAGCTTCCCCACTGCTGCGGCTCTCCTCCTTCGGTTTCCCTGAGACCCGACCTGGTGAGGATGCAGCTCCTCGTAGAGGGCACTGGCTCCGTCTGCAGGTCATCAGCCATCCTTATGGGTAGAGGTGGTGAGTGGCAGATGTGGGTTTCAGTTTGTTTTCACAGATTCCTGTTTTTCCTCATGAGTTCCAGTTAGTTCTTGCTTTCTCCCACATCTCATCCAGCTTTCCTTCCCAACTGCTGGTCCTGCTGACCTACGATGGCTTCAAGCTCACCACTGGATGCACACACCGGCTTTCTGTAGATTTCATGACCAGCTCCCACAATTTCAGGTCTAATCCCTAGAATAAAATCCTGCAGTCACATCACTCGTAGAGGTTCTGTTCTTTGATCAAGCCCTAACCATTTCTCAGCTGAGATTCTCCATCTATTCCCTCATTATGAACATCTTTCCCTTGAATTCCTTGTGCAGAGTTATAATGTTTGCACTTAAGTCATTCTAATTCTAACCGCTGTGTCATTAACAGCTTTTATCCTATGCTGGATATTTGAGGGGTAGGCCATAGATACTCTGTCTTCCTTTGAAGAGTGTTTTTATTTTAAGCAGTAGTTAAATGATTGGCTGATAAGAAGTAAGCGGGTAGAGGCCTGGATTCACATTTTGTTCCAGTGGGTCTGTCTTAGCTTTGTATTTAGGCCTAGGGTGAATCTCTTGGTCTTGGGACAGTCTTCACTCCTAAGGTGTAGTTTCTCTGTGCTTTCAAAGGAAATCCCGACGTGTTTACCAAGCCCTCCATCTCCGTGTGACTCACACTCCAAACTGTCCCTACTACACATGCAAGAGCTGAGATCCTGTGTTGAGATCCTGCTCTGAAATCTTGCTTTTGGCTTTCCAGTGTCATATTCCACTGGGGCACTTCGAGGCTCCACTGTGTCTGCAGGGTTCAGGAATCAGCCAGGAATTTGCGGGGACTTTGTATACAGATTTGGGGTCTAGTCTCCCTGTGGCTCCCTGCTTCTGGGCTATCCCTCCTCATTTCCAGACACTCTGGAAACCCAAATTCTGTTCTCTGACACTTCACCGTGACAACTGCAGCCTTCTGCTTGAAGTCTAGCTGTTCCGCTCCAGACAGCCTCGGGAGTGCCCTTTGGGAAAAAGCCAGCCAAACTTGCATCACACCCAGTGCAGTTCTCTTGATTCAAGTGTTGTTGCTGCCTGCTTTTGGTCACTTTCAAGTGCCTTTCCATTTTTGTTTTTTGTATTTTGTTCGGAGTTTATAATTGTTATCTGCTGGAGGGTGGGTCTGGCCAAGCTATGCCTTACTGAAATGAACTTTGAGATCATCTTTTAAGACTGAAGTAAAAGGGGGAGAGAAGGGCTATGGGGGATCGGGAGGGGGTCTGTGACTTCTGTTAACAGAGAGAGTGAGAGAGGTCTGGAGGATGAGGTTGGGAGTAAAGAGCAGTCTGGTCCTCTAATAGACTGCCTTCTTCTGCTGGACAAAAATGTGAGGGGGAGAGAGAGAGAAAGAGAGACTGTAAGAGCATGTCACAGAGCACTCTAGCCCTGTGCTCCTGAAATCCAGGGCTCAGGGATTCAAGGGCACTGGAGGATCATGAGGCAAAGCTGCTCTGCTTGCCAGCCGCTGGTGTGTGTGTACATGTGTATGCCACTGTTGTGTGTGTACACATGTGTGCCAATGGTGTGTGTGTGTACATGTGTGTTGCTGGTATGTGTACACATGTGCTGGTGGTGTGTACATGTGTACACATGTGTGCTGCTGGTATCTGTGTATACACGTGTACAGCTGGTGTGTGTGTACACATGGGTGTTGCTGCTGTGTGTTCTGCTGGTATGTATGTGCATGTGTGTGCAACTGGCATGTGTGTATACTACATGTGTGCCACTGGTGTGTGTGTGTGTACAGCTAGTGTGTGTGCGTGTACATGCATTCAACCTAGTCAGTGCAGTTAATTTGGAAGAACCCAAAGGTTAGGAAGGAACACTATGTCTCCCCTATCCCTCCTCCATTGCTAATTATTGTCTGAAATGATCAAAAACATGAAAATGACAGAAAGAGTTCTAGGTTAGGCTCCAGGATGCTTTGCTCTTCTGGTTTCTTCTTTTAAACTTGTGTCTGAGGATGTCTGGCCAGCATGCTGCTGATGGGTCAGAAATTGTGGCACCCGTTACTGGTCTGCAGTTTGGGACAGAAAGCCTGCCATCAAAGTGTCAAATGGAGGACTGCCGGCCAAAGCTGGGCTTCTTACAAGTTTAACGTCCTCGATGTTGGCCCAGGTTGTATTTTTAACATTTTTGGAATTAGTTGCACACGTCTTAGACATGGGTCTTAGCTGTCTACTGCAGATGGTGTGTTTTCTCTCCAGTTTGCCACAGTTCCCAGAGCCCCCTGCGCAGAGGCCTGTCTGCTGCTCTCATTAGTATTTCTTAACAAATACAAGTTTGGCTCCATAGGTTTCTGGGTTTGTGAGTCCTGCCCTAAATCATGCTGGTGGATCTGTGGAAAATAAGGATACCTGTAAAGTCCCCTGGAGAAAACAACACAGCAGGCGGTCATGTCCCGGGAGGATGGCTTGAACAGTAACAGATATTCCCACAAGGCTTTAAGAAAGCTCTCCTTGGCCTAGACCTGGACCTGGAGAGGCAGGTCAACTGAGAAATAAGCTCATAAGTTGAGATGCTCCACTGAGCTGAGAGGGAGGGCTGGGATAGATGGGCAGGCAGGCTGGCCGACCATGGGGCAGTTGGCTGGCTCTGTGAGAGCTGTGTCAGGGAGACAGAGCCCTTGGCAGTGAAGAAAATGCAGCTGTGTCAGGGAGGAGTGGCAGCCTCGGACATCAGAGCAATGAGAGCCAGACACCGCCACTGTGGCCCCACACCAGCAAGACGCCCTGCACGAGGTATTGGCTGTCGGGCCCCCTGGGTCAGGGTGAAGAGATGAAAGGTGAAGGAGGGCTGAGTCGTGACAGAATGCGGCGGAGGGAAAGGAGAAGGCAACGAGTGTTTGAGGTGGAATAGAAACGCTATGCTAAAGAGAATTCTGGGAAACCTTCAAGGCTGGAGAATTGAGAATTCAGGCCAGTTCCACAGAAAGGCCTTCTAGGGCAGTGGTTAAGAATGGGAGATCAGGAGCAGATACACATGGGCTTTACAGTTGATCATCTGGGTGACCCTGGGCAAGTTTTTAACCTCCCTGAATATCCTCATCTGTAAAATGGGGATAGGATAGGCCCACCCTGACACTGTGAGTGTTCAATGAGTGAATTTTTGAAAGTGCCCAGCCCAGTTTCTTATAAATGTGAGTTGCCATCATTATTATAAACTGTACTAACAGTAGTAAGACATGAACACCTAAGTGCTGTGGAACGTCCATTATGATCATGATCAACATCATCCTCATTGAATGTTCTTTGTGTTGAAGCACCCGTATGTCAGGAAGCCTTTGTGAAATTGCAAATATATAACCCAGATGGTTTATTAGTAGCAATGAACACACATCAAAGGGATGGACAGCAGTTTCAGAAGTTCCGTCTGCTGCATCTGGTTAGGACTCTGCCTCAGTGGCTTTGAGAAGCGTAAAGGCTGCACAGGATCCCTACGCACTGGAGGAGAGGCTAGAAGAGAACCACACCCACTGCGTGTGTCAGTCTGTATTAGATACAGTATAGCCACGCTCAGATCTACCTTTAAGCCGTCATGTGCCATCAGCATGCTAAATTTTTCACTGTAGCTTCAGTGATGTGGCAGTGCTGGGCTAGGTAAGAGCTGGCCTGTGCATGTGGGCAGGAATCTGGTTGGGATGAAGGTAGGGGCCCTATGGAAGAAGCCTCTGTTCTTTTGTATCGAGAAGGAATAGCTGCCAGTGGCGGTCTGACCTCACTCTAGTGCCCAGTCTGCCTGAAGGAGGCCTTTCTCAGCCCAGAGCTTGCAAAAAGCCAGGCAGATGCCACTAAAATCACACACTCATCCCAGTGAAAATCAGTCATGGCCTTTCTTGTCTCTCCCTGTGCTTTCTTGTTTGGCTTTCATGGAGGTCTGTGTTGTGGAAGAACTTGGGTCTAATTGCTGCAGGCAGATGCCTGTGTTCTTTTAGCTGAGGCAGATGGGCAAGGGAGGAGGAGGTGGGGGTGGCTGTGAAGGAGGAGGTGACATTTGTAAATATGTCAAGGGACAATGCAGAATCAGTAGACACACTGGAACCTTTGAAGTGAGAAGATGAAATGATCTTTTATAAATGTTGCACGGGTCTATATAGATAGTAATGGGGTTAGGGAGGGTATTGATTCCTAATTAGGGTTACAGTAGGTGAAAATCAGCTATAGGGAATAGTGAATATTTTCAATCTCTTCCCAGATAACATTTCACAAGAGCTGCTTACCATTTATAAAATTAGCTGTCACTTTTCCCCTTTTCATTATAAACAACAAAAGGGCTAGTAGCAGGCAGCATAAGGAAAGAAGAGCTGTACATGCCTCGGCTAACCTTCTGCCCAGCTCAGTGGTCTCCCAAAAGCCAAGCTTTGCATGAGCAATCCTGTCATTCAGCAGCCAGGTGTTACACTCCCTAATCAAGCCCTCTAAGTGCAGCAAGCCCTCAACTCTTCAGCTCTAATTGGGCCAAGTCCAGGTCCCTTGTCACTACCCCAAGCCCAGTGAATGAAGATGCCTTCCTAGGCCACATCCTGGCCCTGTTTTTAGCTCCTTACCCCTTTATCCAGCGGAACCTTCACATCCATCGAGAAAGAACCTGTTTCCCTGTTGATCATGGCGGTTCTCAGCTTCAGGAGGAAAGATAATGGCATTAGTTCCTTGGCTCACAGGGGAGGATGAAAGTGTTGAGTTTTTGGACCAGATTAGAGGGGATCCCCAGAAACACTTTTGGTTCTTCCCTTTTTCCTCTGAGAGAGATACTGGGAGGGAACATGGACCTGATTCTAGGCTCCATTTAGCTCATGATTCTAGGCATTCACCAAGATCCCTCTCCCAGGTGGACTGATGCATTGGGGTACAGACTGTCAAGTTGCTGGGACATTGTTTCGTCTAGGATGAGAAACTGCGATCAAAAGCCAGGCTAGAACATCATTAAAACTCAAACTCTGCAGCTTATACACATGAGCTCATTCAGCCTCAGTAGTTCTTATGATTCAAGAAGATATTGTTATATTTTTATAGCTGTTAAAAGAATTGCTCACTTTAGGCATTGCTTGTGGTTTGAGCTTGGAAAGGCTCTGGGATGAACCTGTTCTGCCCGACAGGAACAGAGCGACCTCAAAGCTCACAGCCACGCAGCTGACCCATTTAGTTAGGTGTAGAGCTAAACTAGCTTCCCCTCCCCCATTTTCCCCACTCACAGATTCAGCCTGGTCTTCCCACTCCACTTCGGAGAGATCCACGCTGTTGTAGTTAGGTTTGGGTTTTAGTTTCTTTCCCTCTCTGTACTGGAGTGGGCAGGTTAGGAAGAAAAACATGTGGTTAGTACACAACCTGCTTAAGTTGATCTCGTCTACACAGTCTTTCAGGTATATTCATAAAAGAAGAGGATTCCTTAGAAATCAATCAATTCAGTGATTACTTAAGGTTATCTGGGCAAACTTCCACCCAATGCAGAGCTCCCCTTGCTGACATGTATGACAGATGGTCTCACGGCCTCTGAGTGAATCTTCCCATGGCAGGGAGCTCCCTATCTCGTGGGTTAGCTTGTCAGAGCTTTGGACAGTCCGAATTGTTGGAAAGTTCCTCCTCATACAAAGCTGAAATCGACCTCCCTGTAACTTCCACCCACTGATCTTCCTTCTTTCCCCTGGAGCTGCATAGAAAGTGTTCCACCTGACAGCCCCTGGGATTTCCAAAGGTGCTTGTCACTCCTAAGACTTCACTGCTCCAACTGAGTTTGCCCAGTGTGTGGATGCCTCAGCCCCCTCTGAATATGCTCGGCTTTGTGTTTCAAAGTCACTCTCAAAATGGAGTTCCCAGACAAAAGTCAACCTTCCAAGTGGGGTCTGACCAATGTGGCGTGGGATGTGATCTGTGGACTAAGGCGTCACGGGGCCCTGACTGCTGCCTGCGGTTCTGCTGTCTTCCTGGCCAGCCACACTGCCCTGGCAGTTCAGGCAGAGATTTCAGACAGTGCAGTCCCTTGGTCTTCCTCATGGGACACACCGTCAGATGCCGCTTTGCAATCGTATGCTTGAGCACTGATTATTTCCCAGACTCTCCATGCATCCCTAATACAGTTCATCTTGCTAGTTTCAGCTCATTGTTTTAGAAGAACGCTTTCTGAATACTAATTTTCTCAATGTATTAGCCATATCTTTCAGACTTCATGGCATCTGCCTTCTGCATTTTCATCTTAGTGATAAAATATTTGAATGGGACAGAGACAAGGACAGATCACTGCTTAATAAAGACCTCCCTTCAATTTGACATACAGCCATTAATCAACATTCTGAGTGTTATTATTTTCTGGCCCTGACTCCTCTCTCTCTGAAGCCGAGACAGATGCCATCAAGTTATCTATGATTAGGTCTGCAGCACTTCCCGGGTTTAGTTTATTAACCCCCATCAAAAAAGGAAAGAGGACAGTTTATCATTGAGATAAATTAAGGATTAATTAGCGTGTCTGCTTTGAGCGGAATGAGGCCCCCAGCAGATGCCTGGACGCCTCTAGATATACCTGTCATGGTATATCTTCCTTCTGCCAGTTTTCTGTTTGCTTTTTTCGGGAAAGTGTCATACTGATTTCTCACCTGTTCAGGGGATCTGTAGGATTCCCTTTCCCCTCCTTCCCTCCTTTCCCATGCCTGGATCATGCTTCTTGGTCTTATGAATGACCATATTCATCAAATGGCCCTGTCCTGCAGTCTTTTACATGGGATGTTTCCTTGGGCATGGTTCAACATTCCATTACCATTCCCTAAATCCTGACAAGGCCTGAAGATCATCTGTAGCTTCTCATATTAAAACCATAATTCTACTCCTTTAAATACTCCTACATGGGGCGCTGATGTAGAAAGATTTCGGGCCAATAGCATGGCTCTTTTAATTTATTACTGAGCGTATCCTCGTCATTTTTTCTTTTTCAAGCCTTAACTATAGTTTTCCTGATAGTGCTTTCCTTAGAAATCTCATTTCATTGGCTTTACTGTATCTTTTGCTGTGTAATAGGGTCCTGTGTGGTGTTATTCCCTAACTGTTTCATTTGTATAAGTTTGGTTTTCTTAATTCGAGTGTAAGCTTCTGTTCATAATATTCTTCACAGCACCATGAGGTCAGCACGCAGGAGGTCCACACTGTGAATCAACTGGTTGAAGCCTTATATTCATCTGGAGTACATAGGTGGTGACAGGCGGTTTCTGATCAGTACCCTTCAATTCTACAAGTCAGCTCCAGAATCAGCATATCTATCATTTCCCTAGTGAGTCATTTGGCTGGCACTGGGGCTGTCCCCCGCAGAACCCCTAGTACAAGGGAGTGACATGTTATGGGTTCCCATGCTTGCCCAGCAAAGCCTAAATTGGAAGACAGTATGAGCAGAGTGGCTTCCAGTGTGCCCCAATCTCTCTCTATTCAGAACGCCTAGAGCTTGCCTTAAATAGTGAAGCAGTTGCCCTGCAGATGCTCAGTGTCTATTTGAACCAAGTGGAATGAATAGAGTGTGGCTTAGACTGACCTGGGCAGCTGAGGCCCTGAGTTCTCCAGAAGGTTCTCTGCTGTCTGTCGTCAGTTGCCATCTGCTATTCACTACAAGGCTGGTAGAGGGCAAAGGGCTACGATGTTCCCAGGACTTTAGCTCCCCCTACCCCAACAATCACACTGAGAGCTGTGGTCATATGCTGCCTGGTGCCAACGTGCAGGACTAGCTCCTTGGCCCTGGAGGCAGAGCTTTCGGATAAGACAATGCAACTTCCTCAGCCCTCAGTTGCTCAGTTGAACTCATGTGAAAATACCCAGCCTCTGTGTCAGGGTGGAGAGGGCTGGGAGGGCCAGGAGCACTCAGGAACACGTCCTAAGCTGTGCCACGCAGGAGAGGGCGCCCCTGGCATTTCTATGGTTAGCTCCTTGTTCACCCGACTTCACAGGCCCCCAGAGTGCCGAGAGACTCCAAGCGGATGTGAATAATGGCCCTGCGGACTCTTTAGCCTCAAAACTGCATGCTTCATTACACGCTCTCTGGCCCACTCATCAGTCATTGCACATGTTTTTGCCTTGTCTCTTCTGCTAGATTATAAACAACTTGAAAACAGGGACTATGATTCAAATACATTTTTTTTTCTCACATTTCCCACTGGGTTCCTAAACGGAGTCCAATGTGTGTTTGTTGTTTTAATCATTTTTGTGAATTACCCCCAAATCCCATACAGCAAGGATCCCAAGGCAAAGAAGATGTGTACCTACCAGGGGTCGGAGGTCGGGATGGGACAGGATGTAGCCATTGTTGGTGTTCAGAAAGGCATATCCATGCACTCCAAGCTGCAGAGTACAGGGTGGAGGGGCATTTGGCCTGCTGTCTGTGGTAGGCATCTGGAGTTGGGCAGGGGTTTGGGGCCAGAGGACGGTCAAAGATGGCAGCTCACAGCAGTGAGTATTTTCAACAGGAACATAACTGAGCCAGGGCCATGCTTCCATGCATTGATTGAGAAATCCTTTCCAAACTTGACTGTTTACAGTAACCATCATAATGCATATTATTACCTGACTTCTTTCCTACCACATGTTCTGGGTGCTTTGATGATTCAATCTCACTCATGCTCACAGCGGGACTGTGTGGCATGGAGGAGCAGACTGAGAAACCAAGGCACTGGGCAGGGGAAGGACTTGCTGAAGGCCACAGAGCAAGTCAGTTTGTGGTGGGAAAGGGACCCAGGGGCACCGGTTGCTCCTCTCATGCTCAGCACCTGCACTTCTTGAGCAGTGATGGAGGGGCCCCATCCCAGCTCTGGGCTTGGCTGTCACTGCCTGGAGAGAGGCTCCCACCACGGGGGAGGAGGGAGGTGGCTCCTGGGAACCTGTGATGGCCACAGGGAACAGACCCAGGCTCACCCTGTACCGGGGCGCCAGCTTCATCAGCTCTCTCAGGGCCACATCGGAGCCCACCACACCCAGGAGAATGCCATGGGATCGCTGGAAGGAAAGACACAAGGGGTGGGGGAAACTCAGATTTCCTGCGTACAAGCCAGACTGGGCCCTGGCCTGTCCAGAGCCTAGAAGAGGAGGCCACTTAGGCTTTAAGTGGTTCTCCCTCTACAGTTAGATTCTAGGCTGGGAATAAAAATCTAGACTCTGTTAAATGAGGTCCCAGGAGCAATCTCAGCTGCTAGGAAGATTAATACACAGTATTAATATTTAAGTTGTAATATTTAAATGGAATCCAAAGTTAAATGAAATATTAATCTTCATGGCAGAGGGTGAAGTTATTGGGATCCTAGGAACCATAATTCATGGATGCTCTGAAGCATACAGAGCCTGTAATGAAACATTTCCTGACCAGATGGAGGATGGAAGGCTCTAGAAATCCCCTCACCAGAGGCCTTTACAAACAAGTTAGAGTCTGCACAACTTGCTAGGTTACGCGTGGCTTTGCAGGAAGGCTGGCAGGCGATCCTCCAGCCTTATATCCCCAAGGCAGGGTTCCCAACTGCAGAGCAGCGAAATAACCCCCAGCCAGTGAGCAGAGTCACTGGGGAAGCCATGGAAAAGTGCAGACCCCGAGCCCACCTCCAACCAGGAGAGTCTAGGGTAGCTACTCTGGGACATGCCTGGGAATCTGCATTCAAGCCCTCCCAAGATGCCTCAGAGGCACAGCCAAGTCAAGAATAGTCTAAGGATGCCACTGTGGCTCCAGGTTCTAATCCCCACTGCAACCTCTCTAGGAGCAGCCACTCACCGTTTCATTTTTCTTGCTGAAAACTGGCATGGCCACAGTGGTGAGGAGCATCAGGCTCTGAGTCTGCAAGCTGAGGAGCTGTCAGGGAGGGGAGACAGGGATCAGAGGGCACGGCCTAGGGCTACTGGTGTGCTGCGCTCAGAGCACCCAGTGCGGACAACTCACAGTCATGCATCAATTATCCAGCATCACCTTCCCAAGGGGAAGGAGGAAATCCCAAATCCCTTCCCTGCAAAAGGAATGCTAGGGGTCAGAGGTGGCCTGGAGGGGAGGACCAGACTGATGTCACTCAGCAGGGTCCTGAGCCCATGACCCAGCCGCAAGCACACTCACTAGGCTCTCTCGTCTCAGTGAGGGCCATGCTGAGTGTTGAGCATGAACCCAGGGAACAGGCCCGTGTGCACCTGCCCAGAAACAGGGAGGCTTTGCACAGCGCCAGTTTTCTAAACCTCTGATACAGACTCAAGATTGCTATAGGTGAGAGGGAGGACATCGACCCAGAGCTACCCAGAAACACAAGCACACCCCGAGGAAGGGCAGGCAGCACAAGGGCAGGCCGTGGTGTGGCTGTAGTGGGCCTTGGGGCCATCCCTAGCACCCCAGTCAGACCCACATGGTCTCCACTCACAGCACCAGAGCCGAGCCCTTGCCGGTCTCCCGAGGGCTCTGCCCTGACTGCCCGGGCTCGCCGTGACCGCTCCTCCAGCTACTTGAAAGGGGCTCTCCATGTGTGCCCCACTTTATAACAAAGGTAGGCTTCTGACAAGCTTGTGGGAAGAGAGGTTTCATAAGTCCGACCTCGGCTAAGATCAACTAAAGGAGGCTGCTGAGTCATGGAAGTCCACAGGTGACTTTCTCGGAGAAGGAAGCGCGTTTTGGCCACCACGTCTCTTTCCCTCACCTCATCTGAGTTATCCGTTTACAGTTAGAAGTAAGGCTTTCTGAGAGTGAACCATGATGCCATCTAATTTTTTTCTGAGCTTAGACACATCTCTACAGGTTATATGAGGACTTTCCAGTCTCCTTCCTGAGTTAGGAATGTGTGAAGCCAGCTTACCCCTGCCTCCCCAGGAAGCAGCTCCCAGACTGTTGGTAGGCCCCCATGACCTGCTCTCCCCTACGACACGTCAGCCTGGGCGGGGTCCAGTCACCGCTGTCCCTGCACTCGTGTTTCCGGACACCCTTACAAGGATGGACACCTGCCCTTACAAGGAGTGACACCCTCCACTCAGAGGGTTCAGAAGTGGGCCCGGGAGATCTGCAGGTGACCCTTAACTTCAGGGACTCCTAAGTCAGGGACAGGAGAGGGAAGGAGGAAGACAGAGGGGTGTAGGGACCAGTTGCAGGGGCGCAGTTCTCACTGAGGGACAGGAGTAAAAGTGAAGATAAAACTGTGAACTGTGGCCTCGTCTGCATGCGTGGAGGTAAGAGAGCCCCAGAAGGTCAGGCCGTCCATAGAATGCCAAGAACAACCTAGCACCAGCCGTCTGACATGAGTTACAGTGTGCAGGGAAGCTGGAGTTCCTCCACCACCTTCTGCCAAACTCACACTCAACACTCCAGGCCACCTTCAGCAGGTACGGCCTGCGCCCCGCTTCTCTCGTTGGATTTCAGAGTTCTGAAAGCTGTTGCTTCCCAGCTTCCATGGCATGACCACAACACTCCCACATGAGGGAGGCCCACACAGTGCACCAGCATCCTGGCCCCTCCCACAGGGCTGGCTACTGGCAGGCAGACGGATGATGGAGGGGAAGCGCAGGCGCCAGCATGCACGGGAAGACAGCTCAAAGAAGATCCCCACCTCCTGCCATCCTTCTCCCCACCCACCGCTCTCTCATCGATCCTGACACATAGGGCCCTACGAATGCTTGGACGAGGGACGGAGACCCCTGCCCAAGGCAGCTGGCTTGTCCCTTCTGAGCCGCAGTCGGTGATGGTCGGATGACATCTGCTGGGCATGGCCTTGTTGGCTGAGCCCCTTTAAAGTGGATTAATGAGCTTTTCATCCCAAACTTGGCCAGATGGCTTATGTCTACTGTTAACAGGTGGAGGTAAGCATGCCACTGCCTTCGGACATAGAGCAAGTTGAAGAAAGCTGACCGTGGCACTCCCAGCCTCCCTTGTCAGCTGGCCAGTGAGAGGTGAGTTCCTGGGTCTGGCAAGAGCCTCACGGGGGCGAAGCATCCTCCTTCCCCTTCCACAGCCGGACGCTTAAATGTGGTTTCAGTTGACTCATGTTCCGGCAGCCTCCTGACCATGAGGATGAGGGTCACATCCCTGGGACAGCAAAGGGGATGGGAGGAAGGAGCCTGGGTCCCTGACGACCACAGAGCTTGTGGTCAGCTCTGGGCTTTGTTTACCCAAGGGGGACGTTAACTTCTGTCTTATTTAAGCCACTCTTTTCAGGTTTCTCTGGAGCCCAGCCTGATAAGTAAGTCATCACCGAAGCAGGTGGCTGCCTAGGTGATGGGGATTTGGGAAGTGGCAGAAAGGTCTCCCTTCCCCAAAAAGGTCCCATTGGAAGCTCTCCCTTTGATGTTTATTCCTTTCTGCAAGTCACTGCTACCTGCAGTCCTTTGAAAGTGCAAGGACCCAGGAAGGGAAAACATGTGATCCAGCTGTGGGTGATGGATTCTCGGTCTGACCCCTTTCTCTGCCAGCTGGGTGGGAGAGAAGGATGATGAGGGAGGCAAAGACTGTGGGGGAGGAAGGTAGGACAACTTTGGAGCAGGGGCCCTGTCCATGGGGGGCACCTGGCAGGTCTGCTGGGAGTTTGGGGCAGCAGATGGGCAATGGCCCCCTTAGTGTGCCGAGGGCTGTCAGGAAAGAGGAGGAAATGCATGAAAAAGTGGCCTCATCCACCCCTTCTTAACGTTCCCTAAGAAGGTGCTAGGCCCACCCCTCTCCTGACCCAGGAAGTCCCTTCTTGCTCCCTGGGGTCTGTAACTCCGGGGTGGGCTTCTCTAGCTGGGAGCTGCTGCCAGGCTCACCTTGCTGTCCATGTAGGCCTCTGTCCAGATGATGTCGTGGTCGTGGTTGATGACCATGGGGCGGCTGAGCACATGCAGGTATTCCATCACATTCTCCTGGGTGTCCGCCAGCGTTGAGATCTGCGTGTAGTAGCCTGCGGTGGAGAGGGCCGCGTGGGTGTGGAAGGCAGGGCTCCCCTGGGAACCCCTCGCCAGGGCCTGTGACCTCCCCAGCTGCTGATGGCTCACAGCCGTGTCCTCTTGGAAACTGGCCGGGGATACAGGGCTGCTTCCCCACAGTTGCACCCTTTACCCAGGGGCAGCTGCAGGCCTCTGGGAGGCTAAGAGCTCCACAAAGGAGCAGCAGGGCCTGGTGCAAGGGCATTGGGGGTCGGCCTCACCCTCTCCCCACCCCGCCTTCACCACTTCCTTGCAGGAGCATCTCCTGAGAGCACCCCACAAGCCTTCTTCGTCACTCTGAGGTTTGTCTTCAGGAAACCCAATCAGAGGCAGAGATTTCTGGCTCTCTGCTCTTCCTTCCTCTGGTCCTTGTCCTTGCTGGGATTGTGGGGTGGGTATCACAGCCTCTTCCCTGGAGCCATGGTGACACTCCAAAGGGCAGATGGCGCAGAAGGCTGTGGGTGGCCTCTCCGCTCTCCTGGTCCCGCTTCCCAGCGCGTTCATCCCCCTTGCCAGTGAGATGCAGTGGCTCTCCACTCCCAGGTCTCAGACCCTTTGAGCAGGCTGTTCCTTCTGTCTGGAACACCCTTCCAGTCACCCCACTGGCTTGGAGAGTGCCTCTCCCATGGCCCCCCTGCACCCTAAACAGTTGTGGCTCTCTACCATCATAGCACATTTCAGGCTGTATCATGGGTGGTGGTTTACTCGTATGTCTCTCTGCTGGACAGTACCAAAAGGCGGACTGACCCTGAGTCCATCCTGATCCCTCTTGGACCCCTGGTGCCTGGAAATGGTGCCAGGTACAGAGTGGATACTCAGTGAATTTTTATTGAATCAATGGTGTCTGGTCAGAGATCGATGAGGACCATTCACACACAAAACATTATTCCAAAGAAAACAGTGACTCTCTGCTTTTTGTCTGGGAGCAGAACTAGAGTCCATGGCTTAATTTGCCAAAAGAGGAATGGGGGCAGGATGGAGACAGAGCTGACACCGTCTCACCTTGCTTTTTCCAAATATGAAGGAGGGGCTGAGGCTTCTGTTCTTGACGTAGCGCTGCTCCTCTTAGGGGCCCACGGGGAAGCCCATGCTCAGCACCTCCAGGGCTGGGTCACCCAGTCCCCCGGGCTCAGGTGCAGCTGGGAAGGCACCTGCAGGCCCGACACTCACCTTTGTTGTTGCATGCGATCCACTTCATGTCGTCAGCAAAAGACACTTCTCTCCCAATGAGGTAAGTGAAAACTCGGACCTAATGCACAAGACACAGATGGACTCAGCAGCAAAATTCCTGGCCGTAAGTAATGTTAACATCATTTATGTGAGTCTCAGATGTTGGGCCAAGTGCTTCTCAGTCTTTGGGTTCTCCCATTTCACCCCCTTAGGCCCAGGCAGCAACACAGCTCTCCCAGGGCCATGGGAGCTGCCAGGTAGGTGCAAGGCTAAGGTTTACATCCCAGCAGTTCTGATGTCCCCACACCATATTCTGGTCCCTCACCCTCGCCCCAAACCTCCTACATCAGGCCTCTGTGTCTCAGGTCGCCATAATTTTGGAACACTCAATTAAGATGTATCTGAAGGCAAGAATGGCTCTAATAGAAAAGCACATTTGAATGGGGGCCATCCTTTTGGGGGCCCTGCTGGTGATCCTATCCACAGCAGTAGGAGAAGCTTTCTCTCCCCGGGCCCCTGTGGGAGGGTCACCTTGCAATCTGGCCAGTTATACTTCTCAAACACAGGCTGGTAGTCCTCCACGGCACCATCACTGATGAGCATGATGGCCTGGTTGCAGAGGCTTCCTTGCTTGGCCTCTTGGAACTGTGTAGGGAAAGGGCGTGCCCATGACCACAGGCCAAGCCTGACTCCTCCACCTGCCCTCTTCCTCCTCCATCTGTCCCCTTCCTCCTCCACCTGCGTCCTTCCTGCTCCACCTGCCCCCTGCCTCCTCCACCTGCCCCCTGCCTCCTCCACCTGCCCCCTGCCTCCTCCACCTGCACCCTGCCTCCTCCACCTGCCCCCTGCCTCCCAGTCCTCCCCTCCCAGGCCTTATTACAGCAGGCACCTTCTTCAGGATCTCGAAGGCTTCTCTCAGGGCTTGGTCCACGATCCCCACACCTTTGACCATCAGCTCCTCCACCAGCAGTTTGAAATGCTGTCATGGGTGAGATATTCGAGGAGCATCAGGGCGTTGCATGCACCAGTGGAGCTTCATGTTTGGTGTGAATTTAAGAGGCTGTTTAGGGCCATCCAGAAGGACGTGATTGCAGGGCCTGCGTCTCCATGATGCATCTAAGTTCACGGACTGGTCCTCTACAAGAGATGTTTCTGAAATGCCCCCAAGATAAACTGAGAGAGGGTGAATGACTTGGTATAAATCCGTGGCCAGTACTGGTGGGAAATGCCAAGTGTGAAGCTAAGTGCAGGTGGGGGAACAGTCCTGGGATGGCGGCAGGGTAACCTCGGCTCCCAGACCAAAGCCCGCAGCCCAGGGGTGCGCGCTTCACAGCAGAAACTGTGGAAGTGCCCGGGGCAGAGGCCTGGCTTCAAAAGGAACTCAAAGCCCAATTCCCCCATCACAGAGGGAGGAATCTGTGATGTGCAAAAGCTCCCTTTAAGAAATTATTGCCATGTCCTCTCCTCCTGGGTCTTTTACCAGGGAAAAGGACAACACTCACTGAGTCTAAATTTGTCCTCCTTGCAGGGAAACCTCTCATGAACACTAACATAAGAGAAAGGCCCACGTGGGAGACAAAAAGGGAAACTGAGTCCTACATAATTCACAGCATGAAAAACCAGTCCTGAATAAGCAAGCTTCCCTTCGATATGAGGTCTCTCTCCGCTCATGGTTTGCCCTGATAAGTAGCAGTGTGTTTACACGGCAGCTCCCTGAGTCGTTTCCATGGGTAATGTGCTCTGCTCTCATTCTGGGTGCCATGGGAATAAGCAAAAGGGGCCACAGACACAGCCTGCAGAGGCAGCCGCCCACCGTCCTGTGGAAGTGCCAGGCCACAGCGGACACTCACCTCGCGATTGTCTCGGTCTGCCTGGACGAGGATCCCTTTAAAGCAAGGCTCGATGTAATGGACGTAGTCATTGTACTGCAGTTGCAGTGAGTTGAGGGGACATGAGGGGAGAATAAACAGCATCAGTTTGCAAAGAAGTCCAGGCCCAGCAAAGACGCTCACACAGGTCACAGGGTGGTCAGGGGTGGTAGGTCACCTTGGCACCTGCGTGTGATGTCTAGAGCAAGTGAGAGCTATTCTAGAATAGGAAGGCATATTTACCGCAATGATATTAACAAAGTCATTCTCCCCCAGGGTGTCCAGGATGGTGGTGATGGTATGCTTGGCAATAGTCATTCTCAGCCCCTTCATGCTGCCACTCACGTCCACCAAAATCACTATGTCCTTGGGAGAAGTAGCAGCTTGAATGTACCTGCAGAAGAAAGAAAGGGACAGGTCCAAGATGGGAAAACCAAAGCCAGAACCAATACCTGACCAAAGTGTCTGCAGTCATTTCTATTCTGATGCTGGCTTAAGCCCACCCAAAGTTCAGGGCAACCCATCCGTCCCAGGTTTTACATGTTTCAGAAACACTAGACACAGTTCTGAAGCCATCTGCAGTGGCAGTGGTTGGGAATGTGCCCACCTAATGGGCCAGGTCAAGCCCAGGAGGTAACCCTTGTCGCTTTTGATTTAGAACAGCCAGGGTCCCTAAGGGGCTGGCAGCAGAAAGACAGTGAGCTGGGCTTCAGATTCTGCTACAAACTTGGCAAAAATGGGGTGTTGAAGGAGAGGAGAGCCTAACAAAGGGTTGATGTGGAGACAGCTCAGCGTCCTGGAAGGAGGTTTAGGTTGGGAAAGACCAATATGATTGGTCCTGGGGCAAAGCAGCTGTGGAGGGAAGGGAGGACTGTGACTAGCACTCTTCCTGCTCTTGTGTTGGGTTAGGGTTCTGCACACCCAAGGCCCTTGAGTGGCGATGGGGGAGGGGGGAAGTGGAGGAGGACGAGGCAAAACCCGAAAGCTAGGAGATAAATACCCGGGCCACAGACCTCTCCCCCATGAGCTCTCACCAGCCACGGTTTCGGCAGTCGAAGGTAACGACCCCATTCTCATCAGGTGTCCATTTTATACCTGGGGGAATAAAGACTGGTTCTTTCACTAGCTTGATGAGGCTGCCCCAGATCCCCTGGCTGGGTGTGGACCCGCAGCATGGCCATGATCCCCAGGACAGAACAGCTTTGGACCCACGGAGCAGAGTGGGGACCAATGGGACATGCCCTGTAAACTGAGACAGCTGGCAAGGAAACATCTACCTGCCAAACTGCCCAGATGCAGAGCTGGGGGTAATTTCGCAGATAGGTCCACATAGGTGGTACCTTGAACTCATCTGTGAGACGAAACCTCATATCAAATAGTGAAAGGGGAAGTTTTGGAGAGGTGTGACTTTAAATATCCATTACCATCCAGCAAAGCGTGGACAAAGTGTTGAAAGAGGCAAGTGCGCTGACTTCTAATCCACCTGTCTCTAGACAGGTTATGCTCATTAGCACTCATGATTCTTCCTGTTGGCTGGGATGGGAGAAGGGATTTGGCTCTATGACTGCAGACTCTTTGAGGTCAGGGATTCCCAGAATCTAGCAGAAGTGTGTGCCTGATACATGTCTGTTACCTGAATGGAAGGACAAATGAATGTGTATGAAACATCTTGTGCTGACTCAGCAGCAGAATGCTGGTGTAGATTTCTATCCTATTCACCTAATAAAAAAATCTGTATAGATACACAGAGAACATTGACACGATCCACAATAGAATCTTGATTTACAAGACTTTATAATTGGGAATAGTGGGTTTAAAATAAGAAGATTAAAAATAACAGGTGAAATTGTAATATGTTGTGATTTGGATAGAAAAAAATGATGATGGCAGTATCATAAATGTCTAGAAGCTCCAAGGGCCCTTCCTACTCCATAGTGGTTAGACTTCAGATGACATGCACCCTTTGAGGCACTGCCGGCCTCTCAAAGGTAGGAGAGGTTTTCAGAGACTCTCAAAACCAAACAAATGAGAACAGAGCCCCAGGAGTGAGGTGTATGTGTGAGGTCAGCCAGCAGCCAAAGCCTTGAAGGTGGGAAGCAGAGCTGTGGCAGTGTGGTGTGATGGGAGCTTGAGTACCACCAGTCTGAGTACTGCCAGTCTGAGTACCACCAGTCTGAGTACTGCCAGTCTGAGTACCGCCAGTCTGAGTATGGCCAGTCTGAGTACCGTCAGTCTGAGTACCGCCAGTGTGAGTACCGCCAGTGTGAGTACCACCTAGTCTTGCAGGCAGCCATGGGAGGTGGGGCTTTCCTGAGGCTACATTCTTATAGCAGCATGGTCGTGGGGGATTTGATCCTTAGAACAGCAATGAGGGGAGAAGCTGAGTCTGAGGTTATTGGCTCTTAACCAAAATCTTGGAAGAAGACTTTGGAGGTTGTGGACGAGGGTACCCTCAAGTCCAAGCAGAAACAGAAGCGAATTTTCTTGTGGATTCCCAACTCAGGCCCACTGGAGTCCCAACCTGACAAGCAGCATGGCCTCACAAGCAAAGATTGCCAAATACATACGGAGCAGACCCCTATTAGTAGGACGCAGCAGACTCAAGAGCTGCCTCAAGACCTGGATATAGCTTCTCAAGAATTACAGGTGTTGGAATGGCCAAATACCAAACACAAACTAGGTATGTATGAGAAGAATACACAATGCAAAGAACATATAAGAAACAATCAGGAATGAAGAAACAGTCTTGTAAATATGAAACTTTCAGAGATGAAAACATTTTCAGGTTGAAAAAATAAATTAAATGGATAGTGCATTATTCACAGGTAAAAAGAAAATGCACACATTTGTAGATGTATCTAGAGGCTGGAATGAGAAGGTCTAACATACATCTTACCGGAGTCACAGAAAGAGAAAGGGGAGAGCATGGAAGAAAGGTGATAGTAAAAGAGATGATATTGGCAAATATTCTAGAACTGATAAAAATGCAACTCCACAGATCCAGGAAGCATGGTGTATCCTAAACAGGATGAATAAAAAGATATCCACATGTAGACACATAGTAGTGGAACTGCAGAACTTCAAAGGCAGATAAATAAATAGACAAATACCGTGAAGGCAGGCAGGGTTTCCCCAACATCAATAAATTCCAGAAGACAGTGGATAAACAGTTTTAAGATGTTGAGAGAAAAGAATTATGAATTAAGAATTGCATTGTCAGCAAAACTATCATTCAAGAATGTGGATAAAAGGAGACATTTGTAGATAAACACAACTGAAGCAGTTTATTCTGAGGGCTCCACTGCAAAGGAACTCCTGGAGGATCTACTTTAATAAGAAGGAGAATGATCTTGTAATAACATCTTGACATTCTTGATGGAATGGTGAACAAATAAAATGGCAAGCAGGTCATTAATTCCAAGTAAGCAATGCTTATATCAAATAACAGCACTCGTGTGTCTGATTTGTGGGGATGAAAAATTTGAAATATTGACAATAGAATGAATGTTTAGAAGAAAGAGATGGAAACACAAATGTTCTAAAGGCCTTTGTTGACTGAGAGGAGAGCAAAAATGTTATTTAATTTTTTATTTTGAGAGATGGGATCTTGCTATATTGCCCAGGGTGGTCCTGAACTCCTGGGCAGGGGATCCTCCTGCTTCAGCCTCCCAAGTAGCTGGAACTATAGGTGCAAGCCAGGTTCTCAACTTAATTTTAAAATGTTATTGTACTCAATATGCCTGATAAGATTTCAGGGGTAATTACTGAAAGATTAAAAACAGGGGGACAAATTCTAAACTGCTAGAAAGAAAAAAGTAATATTGGGGAAATTTATTTTTTAAATGTTAATCATTTCAAAAGGAAAAAAAGGAGAATAAGCAAATATAAAAACACCAGGACAAGTAAAAATTTTAAAACTAAGATAATAGCTTCAAGATGGCTGACTAGAGGCATCTGGTACTTTCCTCCTCCACAAAGAAGAACAAAAATAGCGGGTAGATAATCACACTTTGAATAGATCATCCAAGAGAGAAGACTGGAATTCAACAGAGAAGTGACAGGAAACACCCAAATCAAGGGAGTAGATGGAAGCAAGGCACCCCGCTTGGCCAGGACTGGCTGGGAGCCTGTCCAGGCTCCTCAATGCAATGAAAGGGTAAGTGAGAGACCCCAGAAGTCTACATTCCCACCATGGACTCCTGCAATCCTAGCCACGGGAGAGCCTCTAGACTATAGTAGGCCTTAAGACTAACATAGAGAGCTTCCTGTAGCCTGAGTGAGGGCATTGCTCCAGAGAGGAAGTTCACACTGGATCCCACACACCCCAGATCCCTAAGCAGCTGCAACACAGCATGATTTTGAGAGCCCAGACTCCACCAGATTGCACCCTGCCTGGGCGCCCAGTAGCTTCTTCATCTTGATATCCCTGGAGACCCACTGACATTTCCTTCCCACAACCACTGCCATGGCTGGATGCTGCCACCAGGGCTGAAGTGTGAGCTATTGGCAATAACTCCACTGCCCTTGGCAGTGAAACCACAACATCTACCCTGAAGACAAAATCCCCCATGTGCAGCCATTGCACTGTGGGCTGCTGCCAACAGGGCTGAAACACAAGTGAAGCAAGCACTCCCTAGCCGCCTGCATCTGGCTGCTGCCACTGAAAGCAACCTCACCCTCCTTAATAGTGCGGCTGCAGCACAGCCACTGCTGTCCCAATCTGAGCATTCCACCAGGGGCCAAGGGATCACCCCACTCTTGCCTACCACAGCCAGTGTCTGCATATGCCAGCAGAGGGCTTGGGGATAGGTCCACCTGACCTGGTTCTGTGTTCCCCCCACCCAGTGCCAGTACCTTGTCTGGGGCCAGAGAACTGCCCAGCCCACTCCATCACCATTGGCACCTGAGAACTTCTCCCAGGGTCCTGAGTTCAGAGCCACTCAACCTCCTGCTACCACCACAGGTGGCACCCACCCTTACATGCCACCTGCAGGCCTGGCCGACTGAACTGCTGAGCTCACTGCAGCCAGTGCCAAAAGCAGCACAGACCACTTAGGAGGCAGAAGGTTGCCCCACCACTGCTACCACTGTCACCCTCGCCACACCCACTTCTCTGGGCCCTGAAATCCTGTCCACCACTACTACTACTGCCACCTGAGCAAGTCACCTGGAGTCCCAAGAATTGGCCTGCCTGGACCCACTAACACCACTGCCAGTATATACCTCCCTCGGACCCAAGGACAGGCATGCTCAGCCCACTGCCACCACTGGGGCTCAAGGACAGGATCACCTGGCATCCTTGTCCCCAGAAAAACTTCACCACAGCCTCCACTAACAATAGCACCCTAAGCCACTGAGGAAATCGCAGATACCACAGATGCTGTTTACAGCTGAAGAAATCATGTAAGACTGCACTACTGCGTGTATCTAGGATCAAAGTCAAAATGTCTACCCAACCAACACCACAGATATAATAGCTTTAGGAAAAAATCCTCCCATATAAAAGCAAATTTTAAAAATGGGAAGATGCAACCGTTACACCAGATGCACAGATATCAGTGTAAGAACACAAGAAATATGAAAAAGCAAGTAAAGTTGACACCCCCAAGGAACACAATAATTCTTCAGCAACAGATTCCAATCAAAAAGAAATTTATAAAATACCGCAAATGAATTCAAAATAATATTAAAGAAGCTCAGTGAGATACAAGAGAATACAGAAAAGCGATGCAAATAAATAAAAAAAGACCTCAGGATGTGAATGAGAAATTTACTAAGAAGATATATATCATTACAAAGAACCAAACAGAAATTCTGAAACTGAAGAATTTATTAAATGAAATACAAAATGCATTTGTAAACATTAACAATAGACTAGATCAAGCAGAAGAAATAATTTCAGAACTTGAAGATAGGTCTTTGGAAATAGACAAAAAATTTTTTTAAAAAAAGAATAAACAAAGCCTATGTGACATATAGAACATCATTAAGAGGCCAAATATTCACATTTTTTGGTGTCCCATAAGGCAAAAAGAAACAAAAAGTTTAGAAAATCTATTTAACAAAATACTAGCTGGAAACTTTCCAAGCCTAGC